AAGATTATCACTTAATAGTACCGTATGATATGAAAGGATGCACATGAGACTGTCAGGAGAAAAGGGTCAGTGAGTATAACATGAGGAGGAAGCTCTCTTAAAGTGAAAGTGAAAGTGAACAAACGTGTACCTTCGGTGGGAGACAAGGGGACATGGAATGCTACAAAATGAAACAAAAAAAAAAAAGAAAGAAAGAAACAACAAAATCAGAACAAAACTCAACGAAAGTTCTCAAAATCAATAAACAAACAAGAAAAGGATGAGCAGAGGGAACGAACACAATCAAGTGTGACACATTCAGAGAGTGAGAGACACTGAAACGGTCCTCATTGGAACAGCTTTGATGTCAAAAACTCATTGTTTCATGTGTTTGTTGGATGTTTGAACACTTGATGCCCGGTGATAATAACAAATGAAGGAGTCAGATGTCAGAATGTACAGTTCATTTTCTGCATCAGTTCAATGCATGAGTCTGAGTTATAGTGTGTGTGTGTGTGTGTGTGTGTGTGTGTGTGTGTGTGTGTGTGTGTTTTACTCGACTGGGATGTGGTCCTGGGTTTGCCGATGTACTTCAGGATAGGGTTTCTCTTTTTGTCCTCTCCATCTTTATCCTTCTTGATACCACTCAGCTGCGGAGAGAGGAACCATTCAATCAGGCTGCACAAGTTTCACACTTTAGTTTAGACAGTGTGCAGGAGTTTGTCTGCAGGAATGACACAATCTCAGGGGCGTAGGAGTTATGTCTCAATTAGGGAGAGATGCTGCGAGTTGCAATGAAGCAGTAGTTAAAACATCAGCATCTCTCTAACCTGCACAAATACATCGGCAAGTATTTTGTGTAACTTAAGACAGCACGCTCTCTTTTTTTTGGTTAAAAAGTTCAATAATATCGATCATTAAATTAACAGATTGTATCGTTTTAAAACACGCATCAAATCATCAAACATGTTGACAACCTCCCTCTCTTCCATTTGGACACTACTCTCACCTTTTTGGTCTTTAAGAAAGCGAGCCATTTCTCCTTCTCCGTGCTCAGACCGGGGAACACCTTGGAGTCTCTCAGCTTGATGCCCGAGTGCCGCAGGTAGAGGAGCACGGCCGACGCCAGAGGAGAACTGAGGAAGAGGAGTGAGGGGGCGTAGAGGTAAGGAGCGAGAGAGAGAGAGAGAGGACAAACATGGTGGAGGGACACATGAGGAGACAAGGAGGGAGGAGTCAAACTAAGCAAAAAGGTGTCGAGAACAAACAAAAGGGGAATCTCTACGCCAGGTGATTCTGATAAATCACTTTTCAAACACTTACCTCCTGTCCTCTTCGTGCTTTGATCTGGAGCGGCAACAGAAACAGAGACATAAAAAACGCCGTTAGCTCCTTTCACAACAACCATCAGGCTTTTAAAGAGATATCCAGCTTCATTCCTCAAAGTTAAATCCAGATCCGTCAGATGCAGGACCGAGAGTGTAGCAGACGGCGGTGCAGCGGTCGTGTGACAGCACTGGGCCTGCGTGCGTGTGTGTGTGTGTGTGTGTGTGTGTGTGTAGAGTCAAAGGAGTAAATGTCATGTGGTTTCCAGGGTTTGCGGCGACGCGAATGACCTTTGTTATGATAGCTCGTCTGAGCTCCTTCTGTCGCTTTGTAATAACTTTTTTTTATTGGGCTCTGAACAGCCGACCATGTTGCCAGGGAAACCTTGTTTAACTGTGCAAGTGTGTTAAAGAATACACTCATAAAACAGTCTGCACTAGTTTCAGATCATTTCCATAAAGAGGACTCTTCTCCTCAAGGAAGTCAACCTGCACCCTCATTATAAACTTCAAATAGCACAGGTTTATTGCAACAGGAAAAAAATCGTTTTCACATATACACTGCTGAAACTCTCCAGAAACTTAAAAGGTGGAGTGCCTCTGATTTCTCACTGAGCTGGTTGTTCACACACGAGCTAAGGCAATGTGAATTCACAGACCGGGACACCAGTAAAACGCTGTTGCAGGATCGATATAAATGTCTCGAGGCCTCAGAAGTAGTGTTTGATTAAAGTTGCAGACTCACAGTATTTCCCAGAGGGCGGTGACCTGTCTGTCCACCACCTGCCTCTCTTTCAACGGGTCCCCGTCCAGGTGCTGCAGGTCTCCCTCTCCAAACAGAGAGCCGAGGCCCATCATCTGTTTGTTCCTGTGACACAAACGTTGAACAAGTTCACACGCGCTCGCATTTGAGCTTTATGCACTTCACTTTTTTAAGATGTGACACCCGAAAGTGGACACAAAGCCCGAACTCCACTGAATTAACTGCAAGTTTTAATGGTTCAAAGGTTTTAATGGTACACACCGGGGATGCTCCTAGGTGACCCATTTAAAAAGGTGATTAAATGGAAATACAACTCAGACGAGTCGACTTTTCTTAAGTTGAGAAAACGTTAAGAAAGCAGTGAAAATAGAACTCTATTTAACACAGCTCAACTCTGCATCTGCATGTCAACAGTGTCAAAATTGGTTTGCAGTGTGTAGATAGCGTTAGCATTGCTAGCACCCCCAGCATTCAGGCTTCCTTGCCGGTTAACATCCACATGCTTTAACTGGGTAAGCATCGCTCCAGTCGAGAGGTTACATACTAGTATAACCTGACAGAGCCTACAGACAACTTTACAAATACTGCCAAACCGCTCCATGCTGCTAGATGACATCTGTCCCCTGTGCTGGATTACATTCAGGTAGTCGAGCAGAGAAATGCACACCTATGGAGAATCGCAAAATGGTATAAATCTCCTCATGTCTAGGGGAAGATCAAAGCATCTGAAGTTTATACTTGATAAAGGTAAAGTGTCCTTATTGTTCTATAGACTCCACAGAAGATGCATTTTCTTTAGCTTGCTTTAAAGAATTTGAGCTGATGACAGAGTTTGACCCTAAAATATCTGTAGAGGAACTTTAAAGGAGGATGCAAAATTAGGCAGGCATGCAACTCTCAGCACAACACCGGCAAAGCAGTTCTGAATGAATCAAATATTAATCGTTAGTTTATCCGACTGGTAACTCTTGTGCCAACTAGCGCAGATCACGACGTCGAATCGTGTAGTCAGCTGATCGTGCACATCCCGAGGACGACCAACAAAAGAAAAAAAACAACTAAGTCATGCACCTGTAGTCCTGGATCTGGTCCTGGATGTCAGGCAGTACTTGCTGCTGCAGCTCGGACAGAGGTCCTCTGATGTCCTCCTGAGCGTGAAGTCGACTCTCTGGTGGCACAAAAGAAGACATGATCATCGAGTTGTTTCTTTCAGTCTTTCAAGGAAGAAGAAGGAGAAGAAGACCTTACATGTCATTAAAAAGGAGGCGTATACATTTCTTAATAATGAAAGAAACTCATTCCTTACCGATATCTGTGAGATACTCCTCTCGCACTTTGATTTTCAGGGGCTGCGAGGGGACAGTTGCAGTTTCAGAAAAAGGTACAACAATGTTGTGGTTAAAAAAACAGCAGAGCTCATTAACATTTCCATTTCTCCATTGTTAAAATGGTTCTATGCTTGAATTATTAGTTAACCTACATCTAAGACATTTCTTGATTGAAGTTATTTTCCTTCAAAATAAAATTGTTCTTTTTTTTGACAATTAGATGAATATTAGTAAGAAATCATTGGTTGGCACATACAGCATCGGGGTCCAGGAAGTGGGAGCAGATCTGAGGTGCGAGTGTGCGTGCGTCTTTAGGACTGGAGCCCAGGTAGGCCTCCACCGACAGGTAAAACAGCTGTCACAGACGCACGTCACCGTGATTGAAGCAACAAAAATCAAGACATAAAAACACATGGCAAATGTTGAAAATCAGTGTTTTTTTTGTTGGATTAAGAGTCTAAACACTACAACAAAACAGAGTTGGAGATCAGGTTGGTTATTTCTATTTACTCCAGATGTGATTGAAATAATGCTGAATCATCACTCACACACGGCATACACAGAGAAAAGGAGACGAGCAGACTTTGGACGTGGACGTGGACTCACCAGAGGGTTGGGGTCCAGAAGCTGCGTGAAGATGTATCTCATGAACACAGTCATGTGTGCAGGTCGTGACTTGAGCAGCTCGATGTCCTGAAACGGACCGTCCATCTGAGGAGGAGGAGGAGGAGGAGGAGGAGGACAAATATGATGAATGAGCTGGGTGGAGGGAACAGCAAGACCCAGAGGAGGAAAAGGTGAAAAGTATTGAAAAAAAAAAAAAAAAGATGTCCTTCTGACCTCATTAAATGCATAGCCGTCGTCTTCTTCATCCTCTTCCTCTGGGCCGATGATCTGAGCCTTTCCACCCTGTGAAGAGAGAAACACACATGCACAGGCTTCAAGAGAGTACATTCATAAAACATGAATTTACATGCACGTGATGGCGATTGCATAAAGCTGTCACAATAAGCTCAATACTGCAAACTTTTGACACCATGACAGCAGGGGAAACAAATCCGTTATGTTTACATGTTGTCATTCATCTGGACCCTCCTTGTTTTTGCACTTAAATGTCTGTGTTGAAACTTTAATTCAAACCCCGGGGGGAGGGACACAAAGTTCACATTGGAACTGGAATGAGACGTTCATATTCAAAATGGACAGTCGATCGGCGCACCAGGCCGTCTGAAGTAGTTTACAAGTTGATCCAGCAGAGGGCGCTCTCAGCGTACCTCGACCATTTCATGCTCTCTTGACCTCAGTAATTAAAGACAGTTATGTTGTCAGAGAAATATCTCACAGTGGCACGCTCCGTGATAAAAAAAAACACAAATGTACAGGATGCTTTGTTGCTTTGCTTTCTCTAAAATCAGGTGTCAACACAGCAGGAATGAGCACAACACAAGGGGGAGTGATTCGGCGGTTCTACATGTCCTCTGGATTGCGCGCGAGGATCTTATATGTCCAGGGGGCTAACGGTCTGAAAGTGAGTGCAAGTTTGTGTGTCCAATCTCACCAGGTCAGACAGGGTGTGTGTGTCGGAGTTCTGCCGCCTGTGTTGGGCAATTAGAGAGGTATTATTTCTCTCTTTCTCTCTCCCTCGCTGCCTCTCTTAAGAAAGGAAAAAACAAGAGGAAGCTGATCTGCATAAAGTGTTTATCAAGACAGACATGTCCACTTAGGGCTGATCACGCTGAAATACCTCATCCAGTTAGGAGCAAACGAGGGGGAGGGGACAAAGTTGGGTAATTGTGCATCTCTGCAGGAGTCCGCGTGTTGTCTTAATTAACCGGATCATTTAGTGTTTGTACATGTTCCTGCATGTGCCCGTGTAATTTTGGCCCCAAGCATGCAGCATATTGGTATTGTACTATCGTAGGTGAGACGACGAGTGTTTATATGAAGTTAGCATTCAGCAGGACTTGAAGGTAAGAGACAGAGGAAGAGAGCGAGGAGGCTATTAGTGCTCCTCAATCAAGAAGTAATTCAGTATCAACTGCATAATGTCTCGGTCATAAATTAGAATAACCGAATTAACGTGCAAAGCACTCGAAATAATAAATAATAAAATAATAAAGTACAGGCATACATCATGAGAGGATGAGGAGAGTAATGTTCCTGGCAGAGAATCTGCTCACTATAAATTGTGGTTTTTTATCCCTTTTCTACTGTGTTTTTACTTCGCCTCAGAGTGGCATATTATCAATTAACTGCTGCACCCCTAAATGGAGTTCAATTTGGACTTTAAAGAAGGAATAAATTCTACAAACCGGTGCTTTATTGTGGGTTAAATACACTTGAGTTTAACACTTAACTTCTGTCTCTGAGCATATCTTGGCTCCTCGTTTCACTTTCCTCCCTTGTGTTTAAGAGGGAAGAGGAGGAGGTGAATAAGAGAGGGGGGGAAAAGAGCAAGGAACTGTAATTCTTGTGCAGGGTTTGAAATGAATTAGCTCTTCGCCATCCGAGGTTAGGCTAACATATTAGAATTTTCCATCTGCTTGTTCTAAATCATCAGCGAGTCCGCTCAGCGCAAAGGGCAGGCGGCTCATCTCTCAACTCGTAGGACAGATTGCATTACTGAGCAATATACCTCTATTCCCCCATTTAATCCTCAGCACTGTGCAGACCACTGCACGGATAGTGGTAATAAGACACTGAGTCATGTATGGGCACAATTAAATATAGAGAAAAAAAAACCACACAGAGAGGCATGCAGACGTGATTTAAATGCATGCCCACATGAGGGTTAGAGAATGAAGGATTGCACATAGTTGCATACACATGGGAAAACACGCACATCGACATCAGGTGTCATTTTTAATCAGCTGATAACGTCTTTGTGTTTACCCACTGCTTTGTGTTACAGAGAGAGGTGTCAAAACAGGGTCGACACATCTGAAACACTTAGCAAAAACCACCCAGACACCACACACACACACGTCACTCTCTCTTCAAGTAGCTGCCGTCTTGCCCGTCTCTCCTCGTGCATCAGTAATCAACCTTGATGCTCGCTGCTGTTGTGGCCATTGATTTTTCTGTTCCACATGTGGGTGAAAATTGCACTTTAAGTTACCCTGAGTGTTAAATTAATAATGAAACCGCAAGAGTGCCCTCTCCTGACTTTCAATTAACGCCATCAGGATTAGAGGGGATGGATGGAGGGAGGGCAGAGCAAAAGAAAAGGGGTGAGAGATAAAGAGAGAGAGAGAGAGAGAGAGGAGATACAGGAGAGAGAAAGGCTATCTATGACACCTACTCTCAAGGTTTGGGTTTCGATCGTTTTGGTGTCCTCTCATCAGGTGGCCGTTAAATTCAGGAGCGAACTCTGCTGGGGCGCAGTGGTAAAGCTGGTCAAAGAAATCTTACATTTTTCGGGGGAAAACACCCGACTGACCAGGATTCCAGCTATTCCTGCTAACAAGAGTGAGTCAGACCCGACAGCAGGAGTATTTGGAGGGAATTTGCACCAAACCATGGCCAACAACGGTCATCTCTGTCCTTCAGATATAAAATTGTAACAAAACTAAAACAGAGGTCATTTAGGGTTTGCATGCCCCCCTAATGCCCAGTCATTATGGAGTAAGAGAATAAAGAAGCTCTTAAGACAAAAATAAGAAGAAAATGAGGAGAAAGGGATAACTGACAAAACATGACATCGAGAGTTTGTGGAAACTTCTGTTGATTTTCCAACATTATGCAGCTTTCACCAATTTTTTTCAAGCTGTGAAACCAGTGAATGCCCAGTTTCTTCCTGTAAGACTGTCCAGTCCAACAGACACGTGTCTACAGAAAGTCAGAGACAGATAACAAGCAGATAAACAACACACCAAGCCAGAGGACACAGGTGCCTACTGCCAGCTAGCCCCGCCAAAACACACACACAGTTCATTCTGACCCTGATTTCCTGTCTCTCCATCAAGGGAAACACCTGTCCGATAGAGCTGAATGAGGAAAGTAGGAGCATCCAGGAGCCCTTTGAACAAGTATGAGTTTGTGTGAAGTGTGAGTCTGTGTTTATCAGTGTCTGTATTAGATCATTACACACATGGAACAACGGAATAGTTGTCCACAGTTCAATCTGACACTGAGACGAATAAACAACGTTAGGCATTCAGAGAGTCTACCTGCTGATCGGTGGATCAACAAACGAAACACAACCTCTGATTGTTTTTAAACACTTCCTTGAATATGATGTTATTTCAGGTTACTTTACATCCTGATCAGCCAGACACCAACTCCCTGCCTATGAGGTCACTGCTTTATTTCTGAACCTGTGTCTTTCTGATGGAGCCACTCGTGCTGTAAAAAAGGATATTAGGAAAACAGACATTGTTTATGAGGGAATAACACATCAGGGCAATGACATAATCTTGATCACTCTCAGGACACTTCAGCACAGCACGGTACGGGTTGCCAGTGTGACCGCGCCCTGAGCTGCACTCACAAGTAGTAAGTCTCTACTGCATTTCAAAGATATTAAAGACACTTAAACAATGTCCTCTGCTGTTTATGCAACATTGTGGGCCTAATTGGATCAATATTTTTGGAATATCCTAGAAGTGAGTTTGGTGAAGTCCATGTCCAATGCCCTTTGGGGAAAAGGTATTTTTGGGTGAAAAAAGCCCCTGCATCACTTTTAATAGTTCCAATTTTAAAGAACAGACTTTGCTTTGAAATTAAACTGTAAAATGCTTCTTGTATGATAATTGTTGTTTTTATCTGAAGAATGAATAATAAAACTTCATCATCTGAGTGAAGGTTTTTAGATCATCTTATGAAATCCTGTGTCCTGCTGTACTGAATACAGAACATTTTTGTGTTTCATATTTATTGGTTTGACGTTGTTCTCACGAGGCAGTTTAGTCTACCGCAGTGATGGCAGGAAAATAAACAACACACTGTCTACACACTCCGATTCTGTCATTGACCCAGGTGCTTCCTGCATTTCCTTTTATTTTGGAAGTTCACCTGAGTGTCGCGATGTTTTCAGGAAGTGTTGTGTTGGGATGAGTGATTGTGATACTGCAGGTGTCGGAACAGAAAGAGTTCAGCATGCCTACACACACAGACACACGCACACACATAAAGATCCAGGTGCGATGTGTGCGTCTGTTGTTGTTCTCTTGATGTACTCCACAGCCCAGTGAGCTCAGATCATCCTGGCTAATAACTTCCTGTTTCCTTTCTGACTCCGCTTCTTCCTGCCCACTAAGCAAACTGGATCCAGGCCAAAAAAAACACAACTTAAGAGGACTAAGTATATCAGAAGCATATTTTAAACAATATTACTCCTGCAACAGCTACTCTCTCATTTAAACCACCAGGCTGGCGTCTCAGAAAATGTGAAGATGACATGCCTCAAATGAAGTGTAGGTAAATATATTTATGTACAGTTATGTGCAAAAGTCAAAAGATTTGTTGTTTAGGCGATCTTATTGTAATTCATCATGTCATTCCTTCTGAGAAGCCCCTGATTGGAAACATATTCTTATCATGTATTTGCATGACATTAACCACCAGCAGACAGCAGAGGCAGTGAAATCATATTTGGAGATTTACTGTCTTGGACTTGCCTCCACAGATTTCAGATCTGGATATCAAAGAGGCAGAATGGGATTACATGGACAGAGAGAGATCTAAAAGAGCCTTAAGAAGAACTGTGGAAAGTGCTGAAAGAAACCTGGTATAATTAACTAAAGATGTCTTAGAAGTCACACTAAATATTGACTTTTGTTCTGAATTGTTTTTATATTTGTGTACATATTCCTTGTATTTTCTGGTTGTATATTATTAATGAGACTAAATATAAATGAATGTCATTAAAACTTTGAGAAGCTACAAGTGGCCTAACGCTCATGCACATTTCTATACATTTTGAAACCTAGTTTAATTCTATTTCCTACAGAAGTTAACTGCAGTTTACTTTGGGTTTTTCATTACTTTATCTTTTCTTCTGTTCTGCTCTCTTTCGCTCTCTTTCCCAGCCCTGTTTTGTCCCGCTCATTCAGCTTGTTAACAGCTCACTCCAGTCATAGGAAATGGCATGACGGTGAGCTAATGTCAGGTTCCTGTTTGACACATTCATACAATGTTTTGGCTCTGGTCAAGGTGAAACCCGTAAACACTGGCCGACGGGGCAGAGCCTGATCATCGGGGGTTAACTAGGGGTTGTGTTGTGCATCACAGAGGCTCAAAAGAACATCCAGACAGTGACGCGCGTTACAAATTCAATTGACGGCATCGGACGCCTGTCATTTCCTCACTCTGTGGATTTGTTTTCCTGTCTTTTTGCATCAGCCACGTCGTAGAAATATGATAATAGCAGGTCTGACAGAAGGAAACAAAAGAGTGAAGGAGTTGCAGTGGCCTCATTTGTAAGATTTTGATCATCACTCGGCCTCCACATAACGAGAAAAATATGCAATGTTGATTAACATTGTTCAAAATGAACAATAAGTGCAAGAAATAAATATTAAACAGTACACATCTGCTTTAACTCACAGTTTCTAAGTCTGTCTTCTTCATGCTTGACTAAATTCCTGTATTTGCATCGGAGCCAGTTCCATAAGGTCATACTTCACATTATATGATGAAAATGTATTTTCTAATGTAAGTAAGGTCAGGTTCTTTAACTGCCATAAGTGAGGTGGAGTTAAATGTGTTCACTACATGTTCTCACTCTTCTGTCTGCAGCCCGTTGCTGCTGGGTCTCACACATCATTCACTAATGAGTGAGTGACATCTGCTGGGGGGCCGAGTGACAGAGCACCGTCACCCTGTCTGACACTGACAACACGTCTCTTCATCCATCCGTCTACAGCTGCCGCAGCAGCATGTTCCAAAGTGTTAAAAGTTGGTAAGTTATCAAAAATATGGAAATACTGAGGACTGAAAATAAACACAGGAACTATAATAACCGCTAATACCACATCTCATTATTTTCATTATCAGTTTAACCCGGAGAGTTTCATTTAGCATGTTTTGCATATTCCTTCCCCTGCTTTGAGACGTCTCTGTAAGCCGCCTCGCTCATAAAGTCGCCGTGCTTCTGCTTGCATCAGCACTCGACCTCATAACACTTTGTGAGCAGTGGATTATGAGCTTCTTCCACACAGTAACACTCTCTGCTGTCCTGACACCTGATAACTTCACTTTCCTCTCCTTTCACTCCCCTTGATGGAAGACACCAATTTGGATAATTTACTGTGTAATAGTCCAAAGTTTCACCAGTTTATCCCACCATTACGTACTTTCAGGAGACACATGGTGTCATTCTTTACGACAATATGGGCAGAGTTAAGAAATTAAATGCTAAAAATGGACAGACTTTCTGCAAGATGGTTGACAACACTTTGTAACCTATATTCTGAATTTGGTAGTTTTCTGTATCAACTTAACTTGATTTCCACTATTTCTAAAGCAGCTGTGTGGTCCTCGAGAAGTATCGAGGCTCCACTGGTCATGGACACCCACTCAGCACACCAAAATGTGACTCTGGATGGAAATTGCAGGTTATGAGCGAGAGCTCAACTAAGTTAGCCCGAGACTCAGCTGAATAAATTCTTAAAATGCAAAACAGGCGAGAGGCTGACAAAGAAAATGAGGCGGCAGGAGGAGAGGTGATTGGGGAGAGCTTGTTTAGCCTCCCTGGTCCTCCCTCCTGACATACACGCTGAACACAAATATCATTCATTAACAGTAATGTGCCATCTTAACGCTGATGGATGGAGCACCGGCCCACAGACACACACCCACACTGACGCACACACAAAGCTATAAAACACACAGACAATATAAAGACGGACCTGCTGGGGCGCTGGGAAGGCTGCCTATCAGTCACACACACACACACACACGCACACACACGCACGCACACGCACACACGCACACACACGCTGTACACACTTGCAACAAGGTGACACACAGAAGCTTGGAGCTCAGGTGTCAGGCCAACACGCTGCAAATGAAGACATTTCTGACAGCTGGCAACCTTTGATGGCTCTATGATTCTTCTGCCGCTCACCAGAACTGCTCAGAGGAAAAGAGAGATGAGAGAGTGACCGCACAAACAGAGAGAAACACGGACACGGTGGGCTCAAGGAAGCCCGTTTTAAACCACCTGTAAGGTAGATCTGTGAAGCATCCGGAGGTATTAAGTGCTATCTGCACTCTCTGATATGTTTCTAAGACGTAACCTATAGGAGCTATAAACAACGGGACAGAAGACAATCTGTCTCTACTGGACCGGTGGAGAAGTGTACAAACACAATCAGTGTGGTGATACTGAAAACAGATTTACATCACAAAGAGAGGATGAGAACTCTGAGCAAATCTTACTTTTGTTTTTCAACGGAAAATCATTTTCTTAAAACGTCGGTCTGATTGCATCAAACTGCCAAACGATATTATCAGTGGGTCCGAACCTTGTTTACTCAGAGACGCCCCCCCCCTACACGTATCTAAGAAAAGATGATAGACCCCACAACAAATTAAGTTTATGTTCAATACATTCACAAAACTGACGCAGGAGGAACGATTCAAGATGGTTTCAAAAGTGAAGGCCTGCGGTACACAAGATGTGAAGAGCAGGGAAGATAGTTGTTCCTTTCATTGTTTAGGAGTCAGAGTCCATGTCTTGTTAACGTTAGACAGTAGGCTATACTCACACTGAGACAAAGGCTATAACCACAGGTGAGCATTCAAACAAAAAAGTCCATTTTCAAATGAAAACTAGAGTGCACCTATCCAGATACTTATGTGTCGGGTCTGTCTCACAAGCATCTCTGATCTATAAGGCCTACTTATTCTAATTTTATATTACAACACAGCAGGGCTATAGGAATATAGTAGGCCTAAACAAGACACACAAAACACCTACACAAAACAAATACTACCACATCGACATGTAGGCATATTGTAAGAGTCGCTAACCTATGACATTTGGGATTTGTGTCTGCATAGATAGATAGTAGAGATAGATAGTAGCCAACACAAACTTTAGCATAGGCTTCACTCTACAGCTTTACAAACTGAGTAGGGATGAGCTGTGCGTGCGTGTGTGTGTGTGTGTGTGTGTGCGCGTGTGTGTCACTCACCTGCTCTGTGTTTGGACTCCTCTCATCTTCATTGTGTAGGTGTTTTCAGAGACCTCGTCCATTATTTCCACCAGAAGTGGACTCGAGGTTCCCCACATAAGTCCTTGTAGTCTGAGTGTCCATTTCTTTTTTTTCCCCCCCACTGTTGTCCTAACTGCGTCATGTTTCATACCTGGGTTAGATTCGGCTTATGGTCTTTCAAAAAGACTCTAGCTGTCATACATGAGTAGGCTAACTCTGAGCTGTTCCTTAGAAAAAAGAAGTGCTTGTTTTTGTTTTATTTGTGTGACGCTGCGGTTCCCTCCAGACTTTCTCTCACATGCGTGTTGACACCATAGACTGTAAAAATAACACGACACTTTAGCTGCCGCGCAAAAACTACCAATTAATGTAGAGACCAACCACAACACCTGGCGGTCCTTCAGTAGTACGTCACTTCCTAATCCAAACACCCACTTTTCTCTGCCCAACAGATACAGGCAAAAACAAAAAATCAGAAGACTACACATAATTAATCAAAACGACTTTTTTTTTAACATGAGAAATAAAAGTTTTTTTTTTTTTTTTTTAAATAAATATTTTTTTATTAAAATGAAATCAGTAGCATGAACAAAAAAGAAATAAATAAAAATAAGGATGTATTTGTTCAGTTAATGTTTTGCATGAGTTGTGATTAACATTAATTTTATATTGTTTAAAAAATGGGTACTGGGTATATTTTTTCTATATAAGCTAAAGGACAGCTTCAATAGTCCAATCTAACTGTTTCATTTTATCTACCACTTAAATACTGACAACCAGAAATGTTTTAACAAGGTCACAACAAAAAAGTCTAATCCATGTATCAAAATATAGGCCTACTTGTGATGTGTTGTCTTAAAATTCCTTTATAGCACTTTAAATATTAAAATTGCCTGAAAAGAACATCAAATGGTATAATCTCAGTTGTAGGAAATAAGCAGATAAAGCAACAACACAAACAAATAAGACAGGGGCATAAATTATAGTTTGTGGATATTGATGGTAAATCCAAAATATGTGTATTAATGTCAGTATACTGTAGTTAAGATCAACTGAATGAGTATAAACTCAGAAACAATGGCTAACTTCATAACCTTCTGTGTGTCTTCAAAAGCCTGCATACCGAAGAAACACAAAGGTCGGCAAAGTCCCTCATTTAAAGTTATAAAATCACACATTAATAGATATGACTCTGTATTTCAAAAGCACACAAACACCTAACTCTGTACAACCGCCTTCTGTCGTGTCCCATAACATGAAATTATAGAAAACCTATTTCTTTACTCTATAACCTGTTACATGTTACTGATGACTGATGTTGACACAGCCAATGTCTTCACAGTTTCTGTTTTTTTAAGCATTATTATATTAAGTCATTGCACTTTAAAACGGAGGCTACTGAAAATGTTTCACAATCGGCTCAATGCTTTTGTCTCAGTTGGTCCCTTTAGGTAATTAGCATCTTGTAAGTGGCATTATTTTAAATCACATCATTGTTTTATGCAAATCATGATGTGAAATCTGTCTTGTCAGTTTAGAGGAAAATAAAATAATGAATAGATAAATTACATTTTGCCCGTCTTTAGCATGGATATGCTAATAAGGTTAGCGGTCAGTTATTCCACTTTTCCTAATACATTCTGTCAGCTTGATCCTCAGTCCAGCATCCAATCACCTGCTGGCTATTCAGGTGATATTATAGAGAGAGAGAGAGAGAGAGAGAGAGAGAGAGAGAGAGAGAGAGCGAGAGAGAGAGAGAGAGATTCAAATGATGATATTAGAGGAGAGATGGTTAGAGAGATGGCTGCTGTCACTGTTATGCCTCTATGACACCTCAATATGCAATAGTCATTTGTGTGTGTGTGTGTGTGTGTGTGTGTGTGTGTGTGTGTGTGTGTGTGTGTAATATGAGAATTGATGCTGAGGGCTGACCTCCTCTGCCCCTCTCATTTCCATTCAGCCATTTTAGTTCTTTTCAGAGGCGGCGGAGCCATTGTGGCTCAACCAGGGAGCAGTTTGTCCTCATTAGAACTGTTCTGAATGAAACCCGAGAACAAAGCATGCTGGGTATAAATTTCAAGATATACCAGCTGAGGTGAGGAGAGGAGAGGGAGGAGAGGAGAGGAGAGGAGAGGAGAGGAGAGGAGAGGAGAGGAGGAAAAGAACAGAAAAAGTAAAGAACACAAAGAGGAAAAAATGAAGGTATAAGAAGTTATGTAGCCTACAACCTTGAGAAAAAAGAGAAGTAAAGACAAAAGATAAGATAAGATAAGACATAAAAAGATGAGAAGAGAAGTTGTGTTAAAAATAGAGAGAAGCAGAAGAGAAGCAAAAAGAAAAGAAGACAATAAGGACAAATGAGGAAGGAATCGACGTTGAAAAAGAAGAAAAGAGGAGCAAAAACAAAAGAAGAGAAAATAATCAAAGAACAGAAGCAAAGTGAAGACAAGTGAAAAAAAGAATATAAGATAAGAGGAGAGACGGAACAAGGATCAGAAAACACAAGACACAAAGAGAAGAGAAAAGACAACAGGAGAAAAAGTGAAGTAGACAAAAAGGAGACGAGAAAAGAGGACATTTATCTCGTCATTAATCACTGATAATTAGTGTTTGCGTTTTTTAATACACATGCCATACGCACAAATTAAAAATTAACAAGGTTGTGATTTATGATGAGAGGATAAGGATGCCAATAAAGAAATCATTTGACTGGTTTCTCCCGGGCTCCTTCTTTGCAAAGCACTAAAGATGCTACACGAGCATCTGTTCTAAGTGTTGGATCAGTAGAGCTGGTGATATGTGAGCCTCAATGAGCATTATCATACGGAGCAAATGTCTTGAGATATACGTGCATGCTGCCACGCCGGCGTTATGGTTATGGATTAGGCACATTTCATAAGTGCGGGGCTTGTGCTGTGAGCGAGGCAGAGATGTATCGGCCATATAAAAACTGAATCTGTGATGTAGTTAATCATTTATTCGGCTCGCTTCTTCTTCATCCTTTAACACTGAGCACCTATGCAGGACCATATTTTTCCTCGCAAAGCCACTTTCTCTTTTCTTCTCCTGTGTGCAGCATCTCCTTGTTATTCGGTTTGATTTTACTCCGCCTCGTCTTCACTGCAGAGATTTCTCCTCTCCTTTGCCGCCACACTCCTTTGTCTCGCCGTCTTTTCCGCGCTGCTTCATGTACAGACAGGTAACAATCGGGCTTTTATTGCGAGCACTCGTGTAGAATGGGGGACGGCATCCTCAATACACCTGTCACAGGTTGTTTTACAGTGTTGGGGAGAGAAACACAGGTGTACACTCTGAGCACAGTCGAGTGGTCAGTGACAAATGGTGACAGATTGATCCAGTGAGAGTCCAGTCTGTGTCTCCTGAAGACATGTGTAACTTGAATCAGTGTGCGTGCTCAGTAGTTTGTGAGTTCCTTTGTTTTTGCCCTGTGAAGCCGCCAAATGAAAACAAAAGCCTGCTGGCAAAAAAAGAAAAATAGTATGAATGATTTTGTGAGATAAAATGTTTTTCTACATGTTACCTTCGAAGACGTATCGACATCCATCCTTTTTTCTTTGCTTCTCCAACATCAGGTGGCAAGTAAAGAAGTCGACATTCATTTCCAAAGCTTTGTTTTACAGCTCCTTCTTTGAGATCTCCAGGTCAGATGATTTATGATCAATCATGACTATTTGGGTCTGTCAAAGGGTCTTCTACATTTTGGACATGCCCAGAAAACCTTCAGATAAAAGAGCAGAGAGACAGTATTGAAAAAGTACAGAAGCTTTGCAAAAGCTACAGACATTCAGTCATATTTTTAACTGCAAAGAGAGAGAGAGAGAGCACTGTCTAATTTTGACTAGTCTCAAATTTACCACAGAGCACAGAGACTACTTTAATTTGCAGCGAATCTGGATTATTTTTTTTCATGTTTTTTCCTCTGATGTTTCACTTTCACTTGATGGTGATATTTATTAATACATCTCCGTTACAATTGTGCAACCATCGGTCCAGCCCTTTGGCGAAATGAGTGACCAATGTCTTTACTGTATCGTTAGCCTGATGTAAACTTTTTCGTCTTACTCCATAGCATGAGCCGTAGGTTCACGTGGCCCGGTCTCTACGCAGAAGCCTGACATGCTCCTCCTCAAAACTGAACTACAAGTCAAAACGATGCAGATCACAAGCCCTGTGATGGATCTGCTTGGTGGCATCATATTTTCCGGCATATTCAAGATTCTACAGAAGGCAAAAGCTAGAAGGCTTTATCAGCCAAAAAATGAAACATTATGCTCTTGGTTTCAGTTGCCATGGTTTCCCGTACACAAAAGGCAGAGAATGTGGAGGAACAGGGAAAAAAAGATAACTAGCATAGAAATCATACTGCCATTTAGCGTTTCAAGGCAGAGTAGAGTAGAGAAACACCTACGCACAAGAAGAGCTCAGGACGACTAAGGCCACAACGGTGTAGCTACGTGCAGATTTGACGCAGAATTATAAATAAGGCGCTACAGACTGTAGAAATGGTAAGAAATCTCTTAATTTAAGAAAGTCAAATTAAGTTTTTGTCAAACGCGATCATGATTCTAATTCTGAAACATGTTCCAAGATTTTTTGTGGTCTTCTGTGATATGGGATATGAGACGGGTTGATTTGTCCCGTGCAGTAAATAAACTGTCATGTCAAATTGCAAGTAAAGAACTTGCTTTCCATCAGTATGTGAAAACTTGTGTGCAAATGTTGTTTCCCCACCTATTGTATTGTAGTTTATAAGATCTCAAAACATTTATGTAAAAGTGACAAGAAATTATTCAATGCAGATTTTTGATTTCTCAATTAAAGCAACAGTGGGAGGATGACAGGAAGCAATGAGGTCAATGGGCAGTCACGTTTTATAGTGTCTTCAAATGGGGGATCTACCTTATTTTACATTTTCAGTGTGCTAACCCCGAATACACAATCCTTAAATGTGGAGCTAGATTGAAAAAAAAAAAGAAGGACAATGATATGCAGTGATTGCAGTGCCCTCCTGTTCACCACT